GACCGCTTTACATATGGAACAAGTTAAATTTAACCAAGTTGCGTGGCCGTTGTTTATTGGCCGTTGGGGGTATTGGTAGGGGACGTGGTAGCTGACTTTTGCTTTCTTCTAAAGTCTTCACATGCAAATTTGATACCTGAATAATTTTCTTTACCTACTATAGTTTTTATTTCCATGTCTTTTAACTACCTGACGAGATAGGCTAAGTTGATCTCCATAGTCTTGCATTTGTTCTTCTTTTAGTCTCGATGCATATCCTTGTATATCATTTTTGCTACAAATAAGTTGGTGCATATTGTCACCTACTTTTCATGGATGTTGTGGTATTTCAGCTTGATTGGATTGAGAAAGCCACAATGTCTAAGGTTACTGCGGTGGGTCTGTCTAGAATACAATTAAAGAATATTTTGCTAGAACCAATAGAAATTGCAAGTCAACCATCCTGTTGTCTCTTCCTTCTCATAGGGTGACCATCAGTTTGACATACCCTCGAGGGTGGGTACTATGCCATTGGAAGCTTGTAGGTCATATCCTTCATAGGTCCATAACTTCTCCTTCTTCAGCCCTAACTTTTTAAAGAGGTATGACTACATGATATTGCAAGAGCTTCTTCCATCAATGAGGACTCGAGAGACGATAAAATTGGTGATGGTAGTTGTTATCACCAAAGGAAAGATCTAGTTTGTGATTTCTTCTATCTTTTCACTATCACAGAATCCAAGGATATATCTTTCTAATTCCTTGATTGAAGCTTCCCCATTTTCTTTGTTTACAACCATCACCTAGTGCTTTTTACTTTTCATCGTCCCTTTGGAGGGGTTCCTTGATCTTGGAAGACCACTAGTAATGTATGTGATGTATTGACGCTTCCCTTTCCGGTCTTCCTTTTCTTCACTAGAACCGCCTTTCCCCGTTTGGCTATAGTGACAACTTCAATAGCCTTATTTGAGGCTTTTTTTTTCTTAGGGGGGTGAGGTCGTTTCTTATTTGACAAATTTTATTGATTCTTACACCCACTCTTATTTCCTTGATCTCCTTTCGGTTACCATCCTGGGTGTAATCATAAGTCACCCCTTTTTAATTAATTCTTCTATTGCATCCTTCATATGGATGCAACCATTTCTATTGTGATTGTAATTCTTGTATAAACATAATTATTTGGCCATGAATTTAACCGGATAAGGATTCATGATCTCGACTTCCTTGAACTCAGTGTTCACACATTCTTTCCAAATTTTCTCCCTTAAAGTCTCCAAGAGAGTGTAAGCGTTGGACTTGGATTGAGGTCCGTGATCCCTTTCTTCTTTACAAAGATCATTATATTTTTCTGGTGCTTGGTGTTCCATGCCCCCCATACTCTCTTCCCTTATTTAACCAGGAGCTCTTTTTCATAATTTATATAGGGTTATGCCCTATTTAGAGAATCACTTTGTGTTAGCCTGAAAAATTAAGCAGAAGAAATCAACAAAGAGTTGTAAGATCCATATTTGAAAATGCTAAGTGTCAAGAGTCTCAAAAATTGTTTTGACATATTAACCATGTCGACTAAAGATGGTTCGACCACCTTGTCAGATGATCTGGGACATAATGTATTTTTAACGACCTCGAAGTCTGGTTTGGAAGAATTTCAGGAACAACTCCATAAGATTCAGATCATTCTCTCTTCAAAACATGTCCAAAATCTTGAAGAGGTTTGCACAAATCAACATTTCGACGAGTGTCGAGTTCGACACGTTCATCAAATGTTGAAGAATTAGTGTATTTTTAGTCTATAGGTCATTCAAGTTAGGGATATTTAGAGAACACTATAGGGGTTGACCAAAGACTCTCGACAGAGGCGGTTAGAGGGTTCAAAGGTGTTATCAACATGCTTGGTGGTTTGCAGCAGTTTTAACATTGAAGACACATGGAAGCAAATTAGAACGCTAAAGCCTACGTAAGGGGATACATGTCAAGTTTTGCGGAGGTAAACATTGTCTACGATTAACATTGTATTAATATATAAGTTGATCTCATTGTTGTGATCAAAGGTCGCAAGTTTTATTTATTCTCTATAGAACTAAAGTGTCCAAGTCACATAGAGAAACAATTTGTGAGAAGTGTATGAGTTTGCCTCCCTTCTTTAAATTCTTGAAGTATTTTCAATTAAAGCATTTACTTTTATGACATTTATTATGCTTTTCATATATTCTCTTCTTCAAAATAAATTTTGTGTTGTTTCATTTGGAATTTATGTTTAGTTTGTCAATATTCAAACATTTAAGATTCAATCACAAACACTTTTCATTGCATTTTTCTGCACAAATTATCTTTAGGATTTTTTTTCTAGTTTAATCCATTCAGTGAATTAAAACTCATAATTGTTTACTAAAAATACCCGTAAACACTTAGGCTACAAGCTCTCTCGAGCCCTAGATTTCCTAGAATGGGCAGTATGAACTCAACCTCTTCTTAAACATCAAACATTTCAACCCATCATCTGTACCCCCCACCGTTACCTCCACTTTTGTGAAGCAATCAATGTACTCGCACATGGTTTTATTTTTTTGGTGGGTAACCTTGTTGAGTTCTGCCATGGTCGTGGGTTGTCGCTTTAAGACAGTAAATTGGGCAGTAAAAGCATCACTGGGGTCCTTCCACGAACATATGCTCCCATCAGAGTGGGTTTTGAACAACGTCATTGCGGCTCTGGTCAGGGTTAGTGGGAAGAGCTTGTATTTACTTCCCCTTGGACGAAATAATGATATAACCGGTTATCTACATGTTCAACGTATTCGTATGGATCTCCAGTTCCATCATAACTATATGGATTTGGAGTCTTCTCTAATGACTCAGAATCCTACTATCGTAAATGCAGGCACAAGTTGGTTTTTTTTCCCGCTCTGGAATCAGAACGTCTTTGTCGTATCTTTCCCTTCTTAAAGAATTCCATGCTTATGAATGATGAGGACAGAGAAACCCAAGGGGGGGATTATGGCTACCACTCTTCCCTTCAGAATCAGGCAGAGGAGTTTTATGTCTTCGATGCCGGTTGAGAGTTGGCGACCTCAAGGCTTTTCTCCATAGTACTGATTGTATTAATATAGGCAGACTTAGGCACAACAATTTGATTGCCTTGGGAGACTTCCTCTCACATAATGTTATTCTTTGGAATAACATGGTGCATGCTATCTTCAATTATGAATAACCTCTATCGGGGATGGATTTACATATATTAAATTGGGGCAGCTGCCCCCACTTGTTTAATATTTTATTTAATAAATGTTCAATAATTCTATTTTGATATCATTAAATATTAATTATTGCCCCCATTAAATTTGATATATTGCAACTATTAAATTTATTAAATGTTATTTTTAAAGAATAAGAGAGCATGGATATTATTTGCAATTATTAAATATTATTAAATGTTATTTTGATATCATTAAATATTAATTATTGCTCCTATAGTAATTTTCATTAATTCTTTTGTTCTACAAAATATTAAATGTTATTTTTAAAGATAATAATAAGTTTTAAAGTGATTTTTATTAAAAAAAAGTATTTAAGTTATTTTATTTGTCATTCTTATTTATTTATTCAAACAATTAAAAAAATTATAAATAATTTTAAATTTTTTGCAACTTCTATCATTTTTATAGATATAAAAATGATAATAAATTTATTTTTATATAAAACTATAGTATATAAAAACTACCCCCACTAATTATAATTTCTGGATCCGTCGTTGACCTCTTTGTTAAGGATTGTGAATTCTGCTGGTGCACCAGATTATAGACGTTGTTTAGTAGGTCAATAACTCTTTGTAATACGTGGATTTCTTGTCCAGGTACAACAAGTAATGGAGGAGGCCGATGTGATGGTTCAACTTGGTGAACTTGTTGTGTAGATTCAAAGAACAAGAGAGCATGAAATGCTCCTTAACTAACTCTCACTGGAGCAGGATCTTGTTGCACAGGGTTAGAAGCATACTCCACTAAAATTGGACTATATCTTCTACCTGAGGAAGAGGAGGAAGAGGTGGTTCTCTAGCAGCTTCAACGACTACAACAACAATTTTTTTTGAACAACAGAATCGAGTGACTTTGGATGCCACAATGGTTAATTAATATGAGGATGAATCGATAGGAGGAGGTTAAAACATCAAAGAAGAAGATCAAGAAAAGAAAATCTGAATCTTCTAGAAAACGAGATATGAATATCCGGATCAAAAGAAATATCAGTGTGAAAATTCGTGAAAATCATTTGTCGATTTTTAGAGACGACGCCGATGTTCTATTATAGAACCAAAATGTTCAATGAATGGTGAAATGACAAAGCAAGTTTTCGGTGCGACTGAAAAATAGTTGACTTGCAAAATTAGTATTTCAAAATTTAAGTTGGTAAGATAAAAAGAAGTAATGTGAGTAAAAAATGAATTTAAATACAATGAAACATTTTTCTTTCTCTATATATAATAAAAGCGGTTAAATTATTCCCACGAGGGAATGCATGTTATACGATAAAGCCATTGTGAGCGGAGAAAAACGATTCTTATGCAAATTGTGAAACTAATTATGAAATAAAGAAATAAATTCCAATCTTGAGCTTTACAATTGATCGAAAATTCCTCCAAACAAAACAGAAACTTCCAAGTAAGCTCCACCGTCAAGTATAATGTCAACATTTTAAAAACGTTTTCCTTCCACTTGACCCGTCAAAACCACGCGCCGTATTTTCTACAGCTCAATTCCACCCCTTTCGTTGCTGTATTCCTTTCCATTCCAAAACAAAAAGGCTTCAAATAAAAAAATAGAAGCAACCATTCTCTTTCTCTCTCCTTTCTTTCTCCTTTCTCAAAACTCCATATATCTATACCACAAATCCTCTCATTCTCTTCAATTCAACCTTATTTCATTTCAGTCCCCAATTTCAATATTCATAATTTCATCCAATTTCTAATATTCCAGTAAAAATAGAATTACTTATTACTTGAAGTTGAAACAATATAATTAATTACGATGTCAATGACAATAGAGATAACTATTCTATCTGCAGAAAATATGCAAGAGAACAAAAAGGCCATAAAAGGGAACACATTCGTCACGGTTGAATGCGACGGAAGCAGCGACGAAGCGAGCACCACGAAGCTCGATTCGGAAGGCGGGAGTTACCCTACATGGAATGAGAAGTTAGTGATAAATCTGCCCATGCATGCAAGGTTTGTAACAATAGATGTCAGATACAAAACAAGAGGAACTAGTAGCAGTAGTGTTGGAGTTGCTAGAATACCTATTTCTGATTTCATTGGAGGTTATGTACATGAAAATCAGTTACAGTTTTTGAGTTATAGGTTGTGGGATAATAGAGTTAGGAGAAATGGAGTTGTAAATATTTCAGCTAGGGTTAAAGTGTCTCAACAAAATTCTTGTTCTAATTCGATGATATCCAACGGGAATGGAGTTCCGGTAACTGGTGTTCCGGTTGCCGGTAATGGCTCTAATAGAGTTGTAACAGGGATACCAGCTGTTTGGTTAAACTGCCAAAGAAACCTTTGAAGTTGTCATCACCATGTTTTCAAGAAGAAAATATGCATTTTCATTGACAATACACGTGGGAGTTATTGTATACATGTCTCAATTTTTTATATTTATTTTATGCTGTTTTAACTTTAGAAATCTTTTATCCTAATATCCATTTTTTCTTAATTATATTTCAAAATAATCAACTTCTAAAAAAATTAGTTAGGTCAATTAGCACTTGCGCTTATATTTAAATAACATTGTGCCAATTGAATTGGTAGTATGTATTTTTTTTTTAAATAAATTTTATTTATGTTATTTGTAGAATTTTTTTTCATATTTGATGTTATTTGTGAATTTTTTTTACAGTAAATTATATAATTTATTTAACCAGAACAATTTTATTGAGAGGGAGATAACTTAAAAAAAAGTAAAAAAATAAAAAAGTCCAACATAAATATAGTTTATTTTGTTATTAATAAAAAAACTAAATTACACTGGCCACAACAGGATTTCTATAATCCTTAACCACATAATTGTACTCGGCAATCAGAAAAATAAAGGATATTTTCGTTAATACTTAATCATAATTTGGATAAGTAATTGACACATTTATTCGCTTCCTTCTTGATCTTTGAGATTTTGAGAATTGTCATTTCCGCCAAAATACTTTTGATTTTGCGCATAAGACTCAAGTCTTTCCTTTGAATGTTTGTACCTTGAATTAAGTGCACCATTTCGTGATTATCAATTTGCAACTCCACTTTGTCGTAATCTTTGGATTTGGCTAGTCGTAGGCATTCTAGCACGCCCCAAAGTTCAACAGTTAGCACTGTTGGAATAAAATTGGTTTGAATCATATCTTTAAAGTTTTGATGATAACAAAGTATTTAAAGAACAATAGGGTATACTAACAAATGTTCAAGTGTGTAGGATCATTGATTAAAATTTCTGAAGAAAACCTAGTACTAGTATTGAGAATGTACATTTAAAAAGAAGCTAACGATCTAGATTCTGAAAGATTAGAAGCTGTAGAACAAAATATAAAGACTAAGACTTTGGATGACGTTAGCATCTGGAGAACTAGACCCTGGAAAGTCAACCCTTGAAGACTCAAACTCTAAAGGATCAGAACCTAAAAACTCTGGAGATTCAGACTCAGAAGATCCAGTCAACACAAGGATCAAGGAGATTCTAGCAAGTCATTATCAAACTTTGAGGACATTTTATTTTCTTTCGATCACGTGAAGACTTAAGCAAAAATCTGCAGAAGATAGCTGGGATTCAACACATAATTTATTTTTTAGCAAAGGAATTTCGTATGAGCTTTCAATGATATTAACCATATCAAGAAACATCTCAACGTCTCTCAATTAAGCTTCTCAAAGACTCGCGTATGAAAACTATTAAACGACTCTTTTTTTTCTCTGTATAAGGAGCTGAAGACTTGGAGAAAAATAACAAACCATTGACAATAAAATAGCTGTTACTATATAAAAAAAGACAAGCTTAACTAAGAATTGCTTAACACTTGTATATTCTAGAAATTCTTAAGTCTTAAAGAGTCTTTCTGTATTGTATTATGTATACACCTCTAATTATATATCAAGTATAGTTATTCATAATCTCTTAACTTGAAGTTAGAGTTTAAGAAGTTTCTTGCCTGTGTGCTTGAACATTTGAAGTCACTTGCTTGTGTGATTGGGTATTTGAAGTCTCTTGCTTGTGTGCTTGAACATTTAGAGTCTCTTACTTATGGGTTTGAGCATTTGGAAGTCTCTTTCTTGTGGGTGTGAGCAAATTGTAATCAGTTGTGATTATAGTTACAATCCATTGGACGTGCAAGATGATTGAAATATTCTCGATTTGTAGGAGGAACCAGGCTAGTTGCTTGTGTCTCTCTTTCTTTCCTTTATTCCTTTGAGCTATTCTTATCCGTTGTTAATCACTTAACTCTGATTCAGATTCTAAACCTTATGTTCAAAATTTGATAAGAGACTTTTTAGAAAAGAAAGAAAAATCTAACACAATTTAACCTCATTCTTGTGTTTTTTTCATCTTCAGTTTCTCTAAGAGATCTGCATGTGCTTTTAACACTTAAAAGTGGTACAAAAATTGTCCTAAGAGAAAAACATGTATGATGAATCTAGAACCTCTGGTTATAGCTGTTGTAAACTATGATTATAGTACTTCTGAAAAGAATAACTATACTGATAGACCTCTAACTTTTAGTGGAGACTCTACAGAGTCTGAATGGTGGAAGAACAAGATGGACACTCATATCATAGGTCTTGATGATGAGTCATGGGATATTCTTGAAGATGACATTGGTATTCTATTTAATGGATTAGGAATGGTAACTAACAGAAAAATTCTCACACCTGCTTTGAAGAAGACTTTATAGGAAACATCACAAAGTTAGAGGAATTTTGGTAGATGTTTTACCTCACTCTGGGTACATCAAAATTATTGACAAATCTACTTCTAAAACCACTTTGAATCCTTGGTTGCTACCTATGAATGGAATCAACAAGTAAAATAAGCTAAAGTTAAACTTTTGGTTCAACTGTATGAACTGTTCAAAATGATGGAAAATAAAGACATTGAAATCATGTTCTCAAGGTTTAAAGTTCTTGTATATGGACTTCAAGTTCTAAACAAGAGCTAGAAAACTCATGATCATGTCAAGAAAATTCTTAGGAGTCTTCCTGTCAGATATACTCCAAAGGTAACAACTATTAAGGAAGCCAAAGACTTAAACACTATAAGTCTTCAAACCCTAATAAGTAATCTCCAAAGTCATGAGATGAAGCCAAATGGAGATGAACCTGCCAAGAAATCAAAGAGTCTTTCTTTGGAATTTGTTGCTTAACCTACCAAGTATTCTAAAATATGGGAATATGGAGAAGGTTCTCATGCATGAACTTCTTATAAGATTATGATGATGAAGAAATGGCTTTCATAATCAAAAAATTCTAGTATCTGGCCAAGAAGAAAAAAAAATTCTCTGGCAGAAATAACGGCTTCAGAGGATCAAGCTTTAGAGACAAGAAAGATGATCAAAAGGGATGCTTCAACTGCAAGAAGCCTGGTCACTTCATTGTTGATTGTCCAAAGGTGCAAAAGGACAAGTGAAAGAAAGGAAGCTATCAGAAGGACAACTTTAGAAAAAAGTTCAAGAAGAGTCTCATGGCAACATGGGGTGAGGTTAAAAAGGAACAAGACTCTAAAAAAGATGAAGAACAAGCCAATATAGCTTTGATGACTCTTACATATTCAGAAACTGAATCTGACTCAAATTCTAGATCAGAGTCTAAAGAAGAATGTAACGCCCCGATTCCGATTCCCATTTTATTGAATCCTTTTTGATTTAATTGGATAATTATTTATTTTAACGTGGAAATTATGTGTTAATATGTTATATTGGTATGTTATGCTATTTTTCTTTACCTGTTTGGAGAGTTTTCGAGTAAAATAGGCCGGAGGGTATTTTGGGCATTAGTAATTATGTTAAGTGGATAATTTTATGAGAATTGATTGATTAGTGGGTGGAAAGAATTTGAGAGGAAGGAAATAGAATTATGAGATAAGAGAGGAAAAGAGAAAAGATAGTAACATAGAAAGAAAAACAAGAGAAAGAAAGAGGAGAAGAGAAAGTGGAGAGAAAAGAAGAGGAAAACCTAGAACTTCAAGAAATCATCACCAAAGCTTTCGATTGATCGGGTAAGGGTGTGAAACCTTATTATTCTATCAATGTGTATAATCATGTATGATTTTGTTGGATTGTTTTGGATTGTTGGTAGTTTTTCTACACTTTCCATTTTAGGTTGAATTTGGTTTAATCGAAAGGAATCGTTGTTTAACGGTTAGAATCGTGATTAGATGATGTAGGTTAGACGATATATGTTAGACTAAGGCTACTGGAACAACTTTGGATTTAATCGGGTGATTTTGGTGAGTTTGGAGGTGCTGGAGCAGAACTGAATGTTGCTGTTCGCAGGCGACTCGCTAGCAGCTCGCTAGGCGAGAACGCAGTGAATGCTCGCTAGCAGCTTGCTAGGCGAGCGTGCAGCGAACGGTCCCAGACTGGGGACAGTGAGATCCTGATGTCCCTCGCTGGCAGTGAAGGGAGTAGCGAGGAGCTCGCTGGAGGTTCGCTGTGGCGAACGGGGTAGCGAACGAGGTCTGTAGTCTCTGTTCTTGATCGCTAGCAGTTCGCTAGGCGAGGAGGTAGCGAACGCTCGCTAGCAGCTTGCTAGGCGAGCGTGTAGCGAACGTAGCAGGATGAATTTTCCCTGTTGCGTGGTGCTGTCGTGACTTGGGGTTCGGTTGCGATTGACCCTTCTTTGATTTAATAGCTTATATGCTGGTTTGTGATGTGCTGTGGGTAGCCGTATGGCGTGAATCCTAGATTATGAATTGTGGCCGTTTGGGCAATTATGTGCATCGTTTAGCTTGATTAAAAATCTATGATGTTTGTATGCATATATGCGATGAATGTGTATAATGCATGAGTATGTTTGTAAACATGTGTGCGTTTCAAGAGTGTCATGAGTCATGTTGCATGTGAAGCATCATGGTATGCATTCTTGTGTCGATTGATTCCTCGGTGAATCTGCAGAACCTCGTGTGCCCTTGTAGGGTGTGAGCGATGGTTAATTATTGATCCCTCGGTGGATTTGCAGAACCTCGTATGTTGCGATGGTTATTTTGATTCCGCGTAGAATCTGCAGAACCTCGTGTGCCCATGTGGGGTGTGAGCGATGGTTATTTGGTTCTTCAATTGAACCTGCTGAAATGAGTCGGTACCGCATTTGCATCTGCATAGAGTCGTGTGTCGGTCTCTATGAGTTGCATGTTGACATCTTGCATGGTGTATGGTGAATAAACATAATTGTAAATGTTTATATGGATTGTTGATGATTGGCATGATTGGTATGCTTGAAGACACATGTATGTGTGAATGTATGTATATGTATGTTTTGTGTGTTTATGAACTGATATAAACATTGTTGACGCATATTGTATATGCATGA